AACCTCCCTTGACCTGCTGGCCACACTCCTCTTAATGCACCCCAGGATACCATTGGCCTTCTTGGCAACAAGGGCACACTGCTGGCTCATGTTCAGCTTGTCATCCACCAGGACTCCCAGGTCCCTCTCAGCAGAGCTGCTTCCCAGCAGGTCAGCCCCCAGCCTGTACTGGTGCATGGGGTTCGACCTCCCCAGGTGCAGCACTCAAATGATCTTCATGGACCATCTTCTTCTTTCCACCACTGGAGGTCACTACCCCATCACAAGCTGCGCCCAGCCTGCTGCAAGCACCACTAGGGATGGCAAGGGGAAGGGGACCATCCCACTCGCCTCAGTTTTGGGGTGGGGGGACTGAAATAAGACAGCACATGAAGCATTTCTCCATTTCTCCCTCCGTGGTCTCCTCCGTCCGCTCCTTGCCACCTAATGGGACCGTGCAGGTGGGGCATGGTGTTGTGCCCGGCTCTACTCACTTCATGGGCTTGAAGAGGGCCTGCCCGTAATTCGGGAATGTCATGATGAGCTTGAGCTGGGTCCCGCCAGACTTCTGGACTGAAAAGGGGCACAGCGGGATGAGGGAGGTGGGCAGCAAGCAGCGGGGCAGGGGTGCGGGCAGGGGTGCAGGCAGGGAGGTGGTACCTGAGCTGACGATCTTCTGTGTGGCCAAGTCCCGGAGGAGGGTGGGCATCAGGGGGTCCTGGCGGGGGTACAGCTCGTAGCGGTTGATGCCGACATGGAATTTGAGCCAGGGGGGGTAGGTGTCGTAGGCTGTCTTCCCTGTCGGGAGGACCGTCTCGGCTTTACTGCTGCTGACCCTGCAGCCCGACAGCCACCGCCACCCCAACAACAATGACAGCGTTTAGTTGGGACGGGACGAGTCCCATGTCCCCAGGCCCTTCCCGGGAGCTGGCGCATGGAGGGGTGAGGCGGGGGGAAGGCCCAGCACAAGCCCTGGGTTGTGGTGAAAACCCCTGCCCCGTGTGTCCTTCTTGGGGGTCCTGGGCAGATCCCACCCATGGCTGGTGGCCAGGGAGACCCAGCAGCACAGACGAAGGGAGCTCAGTGTCTTCCTTCACATCGCCCGTGGAAAATCCCTGGGGTGATCCTGCTCCTCTCATCTGTGCCTTTATTTCCCTGCCAGAGCAACTTGTCTTGTTGTTTTTCCCCAAGGGATTAGCTCCTGGGAATACAACCAGCTACACCCTCTCTACGTGCTCACTGGGGACACACATGCATCCATAAAACAGGGGTGGAGGAGCTGGGGCTTCCCACCCACCCCCAGCACCAACCTGAACTCCCACCCTCAACGCCCAGTTCCCCTTGGACGGGTTTATCATGCACCCTTGGTTGCTCCAGGGGAAAGCCCGACAGCCACCGCCACCCCAACAACAATGACAGCGTTTAGTTGGGACGGGACGAGTCCCATGTCCCCAGGCCCTTCCCGGGAGCTGGCGCATGGAGGGGTGAGGCGGGGGGAAGGCCCAGCACAAGCCCTGGGTTGTGGTGAAAACCCCTGCCCCGTGTGTCCTTCTTGGGGGTCCTGGGCAGATCCCACCCATGGCTGGTGGCCAGGGAGACCCAGCAGCACAGACGAAGGGAGCTCAGTGTCTTCCTTCACATCGCCCGTGGAAAATCCCTGGGGTGATCCTGCTCCTCTCATCTGTGCCTTTATTTCCCTGCCAGAGCAACTTGTCTTGTTGTTTTTCCCCAAGGGATTAGCTCCTGGGAATACAACCAGCTACACCCTCTCTACGTGCTCACTGGGGACACACATGCATCCATAAAACAGGGGTGGAGGAGCTGGGGCTTCCCACCCACCCCCAGCACCAACCTGAACTCCCACCCTCAACGCCCAGTTCCCCTTGGACGGGTTTATCATGCACCCTTGGTTGCTCCAGGGGAATGAGTTTGGGTTAGCATTATCCCTGCCTCTGTGCCTCCCGCAAATTTGCACTTTGGCTGGCATTTGGGGGGGGTGGAGGTGTGTCCTGGGGGTATCTGCGCCCCCCCCTGCACCAGCACCCACCAGCACTGCAGTGGGACAGTCTGGCCCAGGGCATCTATAGCCCAAATCCACATCTCTCTCTCTGGGAAAATACAGACTGTGCCACAATTTCATCAAACCAGATCCATCTCTAATGGTTATCCAAAGGTGAGGTGGTCTTCAGAGACAAGGCAAATGCCCATTTGTGGCAACCAGCTCTTAAACCAGCTTTTTTTCTCTCCCAATTTTAGCAGCCACCGTGTTTGGAAGGTGTGCTTTCCGTAAGTGTTATCAACACTAAAGCTTTTAATATCTTCCCTCCTAATTAGAGGTTAGTAGTCCAGTGATAAAAATAGGCAGCCGGCAGAGGTGAGCCACCATACGGCCGAGCCTAAAGAGGTCAGGCAGCGTCCTGCAAAATGCAGGGCAGGAACAGTCTCACAGTTAGAGGTAACCTACATTGCAGGCTTTGCATCCCCAATGTGTCAGGAGAAGGGGATAAAACTGGTTAGAAATCTGGAATGGGGACTTCCTCATAGAGAGAGGGAACCCAAAAGCTCGTCTGCATTGGGGAAGGAAAGGAGATGAGGAGATCACCTAAAAGATACCCTGCGTAACACTATGAATGATTCAAGAGTCTCCTTTGGCTTCGCTGTGTGCTACAGGCTCCTGGGTAGCAGCCCAGAAATACAGGGCTAAGAGAGGATTTGAAGCACAAGAAGAGCGCGCTCAGCGACTGGGGTCCTTCCGCGGTAGGATGCTGATCTATGCAGGGGAACGGCGTGTTTGGTCCCTGCCGCTTGTCCCCTCCAACCCACGTATCCCCCAAAAGCAAACCAGGGCTGAGCTGGCTCCTCACCATTCGTCACTCCCGCTGCTGCGCAGGCTGAACTTCTCCATGGGGTTGACGACAAACAGCTTGTCTTTCTCTGTCACCTCCGGGATTGGGATGTTGTAAAGAGGATGCTTGAAGAGCGCTGCCAGCTTTGATCCCTCGGTCCGCCCCGCACTCCCCATTCCATGCTGGCGCCAGATCCCCGGCTCTCCAGCCCTTGCCTGCAGCCCCGCTCCCTGCGGCTGGGAGGGGCCGGCCAGCACAGGGCTGCCTGAGGGGACACCTGAGGCTTTCAGTGCTCTCACATCACAGCCACAGGGCCTGCGGGCTGCGGGGAAAGCCAAATCCATCGCCAGATGCACCAGGAGGACTAAGAGCAGGAGAAAGAGGAGGCTGACTTTAAATTTCCTTTGGAAAAGCGTTTGCAGCTGGCGCCGCATCCTTCCTCACCCGAGACGCTCAGCAAGGGGTGGGCACCCACTTGGGGCTAAAAGAGAGCTGGTGCGGCCGCAGCCTCTGTGCAAAAATAGGAGCAAGGCGTCCTGGATTTACAGCATCGCAGCAAAAGAGCAACCGGTGCAAGGGCAGAGTCGCAGGAAAGATCTGTCACTGCGGTACCTCGCCGGGTGATGCCGCCGGGATGGGGAGGGAGGTTGCGGCGAGGTTTATCAGCGCTGATAAAGGGCGAGCTGGCACCGCCAAGGTTAGCATGAACGGGGCAAGTTCCAAATCAATAGCCGCAGGGCTGGCTCGGGGACAGCGATGGCTGCAGATAACCCCCGCACCGTCCCATGGCTCCGTGCCGTCACCCGCATGGGTCTGCAAAACATTTCTTGGTATACAGGGTATTAAAGCGGTTCTGCCCCTCTGCAGCACCCACCCTGCCCAGCACTACGCAGCCCCGTTCCCCATCCCCATCACATCCGCACACGCGTAATCCAGGAGAGTTTCTCTCCTGCTGTTCAGCCAGAGCAATTTTATCACCCTCCCCCATCTATTCAAGATCACTTGTGCTCAACCCCTCCTTCAAAACCCACTCAAATTAATTAAAACAAAGGGGATGTGAGTGTCAGCGTTGCTGGGAGGGGAAAAGCTGGACTGGCAGCGTGAGGAAGGGCTGCCCGGCAGGTGAGGTTCACGGACAGGGATGCTCCCGGGGCCTCTGAAGCAGGCAGGAGGGGGGATGCTGCCTTGGGCCTCAGCACAGAGGGGCGGCAGGACCCACCGAGTGCTGGGGAGGACTGGAGCTTGTGGAAGGGAAGGGCATCCCATTTTTACAAGAAATTTGCTTTTTCAGTGACACCTCGGGACATAGAGCTGGGCTGCGCAGGCAAAACCGGTTGGTGACTTCTAGGGAGGGAGCTTTGGATTTCTTAAGGGACAGAGAAGCACTGGACCACTGGCAAAAAGCCTGGGGGGCTTGGGTACAGGGTCTGGAGTGAGGTTTTTCCTCTTTTTGATTTCCCAAAGGATACAGAGGGCACGTGAAATCCCGTACATGACACGGTCCTTCCTCGCTGCGTGATGTACCAGCAGCCAGCTTCGACACCCTCGCTCCAAGCCAGGGAGGGTATGATGAGTGGACGGGGGGTACGCTGGAGACCTCCTCCTCCTCCTCTGCTGCCATCCCTGCACTACCCTCTCGCTCGCGCTGCCCTCTCCGCACTGTCCCGTGCCGGCTCCGTTCGTACTGGGCTCGGCCTCCTCCCAGGCAGCGTGGCAAGAACGCGGTGTTCCCGGTGTTCTCGGCTCGCCATGTCCCACGGCGCGACAGTTGCCTGGAAACCGCCTCCGGCTGACACCATCAGCTGCCCCAGATTCAGCCAGCCCCGCATTCCCTTCCCCGTGCCTTGCGCTAACAAGATGGCCGAGGGGAGCCGGGGTTCGTGGGGAGGAGGAGGAGAGCTTTCCAGCCCGGCTGGCGAGCTCGAAGCCCTGCAGAAGGAGCCGGGCGGAGGGGAGCAGATGGCTTCCCCGGGGAAAGGAACACAGCGTCTTGCTCCGGGAGGTTTGCTGGATCCAGTCCGGACGTACGGTTTGGAAAGAAGGCACCTAGGAGGGGCTGTAGCTGGAACACAGGATCGTTAGGTCATTGCTTAGCCAAAAGAAACACCAACAAAACCCATGTGCTAACCACTCGAATCAAAGGAGCTGCGCTGAGCTCCCGGAGCAGGGTCACAGATTTCTTTATTTCAGAGCCAGCCCTGGGATACTGAGGGGAGAGGGAGACCCCCCTCCTTCCAGTTCCCCAAACCAGCTCCAAACTGGACTGTGGAGGGATAGAAACCTCCCTCCCATGTCCTAGAGCCAGATGGGGACGGGGACCCTATGGGCTGAAGCCATGCTACTGACCAGGGTCCCACCCCCCAGGCAAGGGGATCTTCCAATCCTACCCCCCGCCCCAATTTAGCATCCCATTGGAAAGTGGAGGCAGGGGGGGATTAGGCGGGCGCTTGCCACCCTTAGCACTTTAATGCCAGCGTTAAACATTAACCAAAAGATTTTTTCAGCGAGTCAGACACGAGCCCGCAGCAACGGGGAAGAGCTGGAGACCTTCAAAGCCTGCCCTGATTGCCTGACAGCATGTCGACGAACCTCGTTGCCATGACATCATCGCAGAGAAGCGGTTGAGTTTGCACCTCTTTCTTCCCATCTTCCCCCCCGCCCCCCCCAACCCCCCAGCTCTTCCTCCATCTTCCCAGCAGGTTCGAGTCACCCTTGGGGCGGAGGAGGAGCCGTACATCCGAGGACATTTCCACTGCTGGCACGGAGTCAGGGCTCCCCAGCAGCCGATAATGAGGTTGCCCATCTCCCCTCAGCGGGGAGGGATGAAGTCACGAAGCGCAGCCCTCTGAGCTGCTGTCACAGCTTTCCGGGACGGACGGATAAGGAGGGGTCATTTCGGCTGACACCGATGCATCACCCTGCGTTTTTCATCTCCTTGTCTACATCTGACTCAGCCCGATGCTTTGATGGGTAACGGCAGCAATACGCAGGGGGCAGGAAACGCGAGGGAGAGGAGAACGCGAGAGCGAGCCACCTGTTGCCAGCTTCCCCAGCTTTCCGCTGAAAATTCGTAAGGTTAAAAACCCCCAGCAAGAGACTGCAGTTTTATAGGCAAAAGCAGATGGGCCCTGGAGGCTCCGATGCGTCAGCCGCAGAGGGGTCTCTTGCAGGAAAACACAGGACAAGGGACCATCTCCGAAACACGAGCCGTACTCCCCTGAACATAACAGGCATGCCTGAAAGCGTGCCGGTTCCACGGCGAAAGGAGGGCGAAAGTCTTTCTCCTAACACGCAGGGGCCAGCACAGCACGGATCGACTTGCAAGGGGCGGGAAGATCGCTCTGTCTTATTGAATGCTGGCCCGACAGGCACAGCTGAATTTTGGGAAGCTGAGGGTAGCGCTTTCGCGTACAGCCCCGATGAGGGGCACGCAAACCAGGCAAGATGGGTTGGCTTCTTGGTGGTGGCTTCTTGTGGGAAGGCTGTTAGCCTTGGAAACAAAAATAGCCTGCTGCTCTCCTGTGAGCCACCTTGCGCTTACCTTGGGGGAGTTCGCGTGGGAGCTGACTCGCTTGCAAATTCGCACCTAGCTCACCTCAATCTGTTTGCACGCTCGTGCTTCGAGAAGGCTGGGGAGCCGTCGACGGTCGCTTATTGCCGATGCAGGTCATGGAGACATTAGCTTTGGTCAGCTGGCGGCCAAAGAGATAACAGATCGGCAGCGGGGCCAAAAGATTGCGTGCGGAGGTAAACAGCTCCCTGTGATCCTCTGCAGGTCACCGCGACCCTGCAGAGATGCCCATGACCAGCGCGTCTGTGCGTATGCACACAGCAGTTAATTATTCATTAGTGTGAAAGAGGCGTGATTAAAGAGAGTATGGTATGGCTGAAGGTATCATCACACTCCAGCGCGGGGCATTCCAAAGAGACTGGCTTTACCTCTGAACCTAGAGGAGATAGAAAGCTGTGGAAGAGAAAAAAAAAAATAAAAAATATAAAAGGAAAATCATCTTTTTCCACCTGCCAGCTGCAGAAAGCGCCAGTCAACACTGCTGGCTTCATGTAAAGGCAGCCAGCTGGAGCGAGATGGAGGAACCACACCAAGAGACAGCTCAAAGGATTTGGACTCTTCTGCACTCCACAATGCTCCTGGCGCTGCGCTCCACCGCATGAGGCAGGTGTCACGGTACCAACTACCTCACGACACCACCCCTACCTTGCAATTCCCTTCCACCTGATCAATAAGGAATTATGTGAGAGGACATTAGGCCCAGCCAGCACAGATGGTCCAAATTTGAAATAATTTCTAGTTCTCTTCGTATTACTCTAATTCCTGGCTTATATAAGAGCTCCCAACACGACAAAATGGAGGAAGGACATCTCTAGCATCACACTGAGGTCCAGAGAAGGAACAAAAAGAATATCAAAACCCTCCACCAGTTTGATCCACCACAGGCACTAGTGCAGAAAGGTCCTTCTAACAGAACTATGGACTAGACTGTGGCCTCTCATAAAACACGAGGTGCCAGTGGTACTGCTGGCAACGTTCCGAGAGGAAAGCCTGAAAAATCAAGGAAGCCACAAATGCGAGACCCCGAAGGTCAGAGCAGAGGCACACTGGCTGGGCAGAGGCCTCAGGTATGCCTGAGGCCTTGCTGCTAGCCAGAGAGCTGTGTGGACTGAGGACTTTGGCCAGCAGCACTGTGGGCCTGGCAACCTTCCTCAGCATCGTGGCTTCCACTGCTGAAAAGGAGCTGAACAGGGAGGATGAGAGGGCATCTCTGAGTCACCCAGGAAACCGGCAGGATGGACGCTTGTCACTCTCCTCTGCCCGAGCTACACCACTGCTTACTTACACGTTTCCTGAACTACTTACTGTTCCTTCTCGTCCTCCACTTTGTGATTTTCATTTTAGAACACACACAGAAAAGGACATTTTACTAAATTTTTTTATTGTAAAAACACAGTTCCCCAGATTTATATAAATAAGTCATATACGTAACAGACAATTACATTCGTTCCATCCTCCAACGTTGACAGCTTTAAAAATTGAAACAGGCTAAAAGAACGCAAGTCCAAAAAGACGTTAGGTTTCTGATGACCAAGTGATATCTCACATGGAGCCTCTTTCTTCTACCAGCCTCCAAACAAGATGCTGAAAGTACACAGCACTTGCAACACCCCCAAGAACTGACAGGGAGGCATTCGAGCCTTATGAAGAGTTCTCACCCACTCCGCAGGCGTCGTCAGCCGCCTGCGTTTTCATGCTATCTCAGCGTGCCGTGGGTGAGAAAGGAGGGGGCAGTTTGCATAGCAACCTCCTACACCCAGGCAACTCAGCTGTTGTACCCTCCCAAAAGAAGCAGGGAAGAGCAAGCTGAGTCTGCTTCCCTGGGGCTAACACCTCCATGGGCAGCCCGAAGGGAGACCCTGGGCACTGCCAGTTCTGTACGGACATCTTGGAAGGGGGGCTCGATTTGCCTGCCTAAGCTGTCCCTCTTCTGAGTGGGGAAGGCAGAGAAGAGAGGACACGACATGGAACAAGTGGGAGGAAAAAAAATCCATAGGGCTAGATAGCACCTTTTCTCTTTTGCTTCCCCCTCCTCGCGCTGCTGCACGGCTCCGCAGCGTGTCGTGAGATTACCTACTCCCCACCTCCTTCCTGCCTCGGCTCAAACACCAAGGAAAGAGCCACAGACAGATGAGAAATCCCACAAGCAAGGACAGGACGGCTTAGCAAGTTTATACACACACACGCACCAACTATATGTATCCCACGGAACTGTTACGTCAATATGAAAAAAAAAAATCTTGACGTTTATCTATTAAAAATAAAGCCCCACCTCCAGATTGTACAAAACCTGTCAAGAGAAGGAAGAAATCTCTTGTATGCAGTCAGTCTGGGACCCGGCCAGATGTCAGGAGCACTTCCAGACACACACGGCCAGGCTGCCACCAAAGAACATGTAGAGCAGATTCTTCACCTCGTGAGTGATCTCAAAGCCAAAACCTTCCCCAATCACCACATGCCAGGAGGACCCAAATTTCTTGTCCATCATCTCTTTGATCATCTTGGCAGCGCTCTGGAGAATGTTAAGGAGGAGAGTGTAGGGTGAGACAGAGCGAGCAGTGAGCTTTTATGTAAACATCCCCCTAGTTGTCTTCTCCCTTTAATAGACTCCTCAAGCCATGGGCAACAGGTACAGAGCTGCGCTGCAGGAACGGGGAGCTCCCCAGAGCTATGCCCAAGGGTAAAAGAGGTGTCTCTGTTTTCAGCAGCCCCGACACAGCAGCTAAGAGAAATTAAAGAACCGCAGCTAGCAATAGCTCCTCTCATTCACACAGTCTGAAGCAAGAGCTCCGGTTTAGATGCTGATGGAGCTATGCTGGGTGCAGCGAGCATGAGAGGAGATTCAGGTCACTAAGCTGCGGCTATTTTTACAGGAGTCCATTTTTTTTTTCCTCCAGCTAATTACCAAAACACTGAATCTAGGCTGACTTTTAAAAGGCTCACTTCTCCCAGATCACACCCTGCTTGATCTAAAAAAGGAGAGAGGAAGATTTTACAGTGACACGTGGTGTCTCAGGCAGGATGGGACAGAAGGAATCTCTGGCTTTAGAGCTTTGCCTTGCTCCAACACAAAACTGCTCCGGTAACAAGCAGCCTGTGCCCTGCCCACTGATCAAGGTGTATTTTCGTTTATTGTTGGCTCTCAAAGTTAAGGGCAACCTTTCCAAAGACCATAACTTCTGCATCACCTCCCATTTCTATGGTCTCAGTAATTTCATTCAGGAGGCTGAAAGCCAAGAGGGAAGACTTAACAGACTGTACCTAAAGGTTCAAAGACTCTCATGTACTCATCCCCAGAACAAGAGTCTCTTCCCCACTCTGGTGGGGATGGCCTCGCTCAACACTGAAGAGCAGATGGGAAGGGCCCATCCCCATACAGTTCTGAACCAAGCCCTCAGGACACAGGGCATTTTAGGAACAGAGTGGAAGCATGTCACAGGCAAGGCAGGACCAGGAAGGAGGCAAAGTTTGGGAGGCAGCATCGCTACTAATCTCTGCTTCCTGCAGGAAAGTAAAGGGCTATTATGGATCTTGCTGACAAAGGGAGCCGAATCTGAGACCTAGCCAAGCTCTTTGCCGTCTTCTATCCTGGCTCAGTGCAGAAAAAGAGTAATAGGATGTCAGGATCTGACTCTACTCTGCCCTACACCCTTAGCCCTGCTCCTGCAGGTTCCCTGAGCTGCAGCAACTGAAGGCTGGCCATTTGGGGATTTGGCTAGTACCTCGTTGTTGGTAGCGTATTTCTCGCACGCCGTGACACAGAGCTCCATGGCTTCTACACGCATCTCCTCTGGCATGTCTGTGTGCTGGAAAGAGCAAACAAGAGGAACTGAGCGGAAAAAGAAAAAGCTGGAAACAAGACAAGAGTAAGTAGCCCTTACTTTGCCCAGGCTATACAGGGGCAGCTAGTCCCTGTGACTGTTAATGCTTGCTTCAAGGTGGGGGGCATCACCAGCAACACGGGTTTGTCCATACACCAAGCATTTTCACTGTTTCAGAGAAGGGTAAATATGAAAATGGCTTATTGTGTTACAGCTGACCCCTTCATTCCTTTGTCCCAGCCAATGCAGCATTCTTCTCTACCTAATGTTAAGACTAGTACTAAGTAAGCACAGCACTTGTCAGTTTTTCTGTTATAAGACGAAGGAAAAGCATGTTAATACTGCTCCAACCACAGTCCTTAATTATTGCTATAAGCATAACAAAGAAGTCTAAATTACACAGCCTTTCTTCCTCTTCTGCTATCTGGCTGGCTAGCAAGATCTTTTACTCCAGCTCCTCTAGGAAAAAAAGCAAGCTGCATCCAGAACACGGGAAAGGGCTCCGAAGGCAGCATGTTCAGTCTGTTAGGTGGATCACTCTGCTCCAGGGGAAAGGATCATTCTGCCCCAGGCTTCCCCTGGCTGATGGGGGAACAACAGTGCTAATAAGTTTCCCTGTCAGAGGTCAAGGGCAGGAAGACAGCAGCAGCGGTGACTGGGATCCTTCCACAGGACCATCAGTACTCATGTTCTCACAGCAACGACTCTGTAGGAGAAATTCTAGTTTGGAAGGTTGGTAAGAATGAAGGTAGAATTTCATATCTGTAACACCGGTAAATGCGTAATCCATCCCTCTTCTTACCCTGATCAGTGGAAAGCTGTGAAGTCTTTTATAATCAGCCTCCTCCTTTTTCCCCTCCCCGGTGTCTGCCATGGTCCTTCCACAGTGACCCCGGGAAGGGGCGGAGGGGATGCCTGGAGCTCAGCAAGTTGCTGCAGCGCAGACAGCTGAGAGGAACGCGGCTCTGCAAATATGGGCAGAGCAGCTTCAGCAGGGGGGGATATTTCTCAGCCCAGAGGACACTGTCTAAACAAAAACAAATACAGGAAAGACAAAGGAAGCTTTGAATTAAAATGGAAGGCAAATAAAGCTATTACAAGAATATTGTCCCATCTCAGTTACTTACTGTTTCTCAGCACCATCTTCACATGCTGCACACTTAGAGAGTTATCTTACAGACCATTAATGTCAAAATATTTTAAAAATGTATCATTTTCCATAAACGAGGTTTCAAGAGCACAGCACTTTCCCAGAAGCACCAATCAAGCTTGAGGGAAGAGCCGAGACAGGGTACAGCTTCCAACAAGGAGGTGAGAACAATACATGAAGCCATTATGTCTATTGATTAATTCCAAAAGGATTTTCCCAGGACACTATTATCTGCGAGAGTTTCAAACCGTGCATGACAAGCAAAGGATAAGAGTATTTTGGGAACAGGATCAGCATACACGTCTGGACGGAAGTGTTTAGCAGGAACATCTTGGTCTGGTTTGTGCACACGCTCCTCATATCCCTGAGCATTTGTCAGCTAGGGAGGACCATATGGGAAAAATGCTTGACCATGCCTCTGGGACTAATTACCAACCAGCCTCTACTTAGGCAACACAGAGGCACAGCACTGTCTGACAGGCAGATTCAGGACATTTCACCGTGGTCTTCCCTCTGGTTCTCTTATCCAGAACAAAACACCTTCCTCTCTTGCCCAGAGAAAGGAAGGGTGGCCCCATATTAAAGGGAAACCAAAACAAACACAGGGTCAGGCAACACCACACAGATCAAGCATTTATGCCAAGCACACAGAGTTGCTGGGGGGCCCAGGAGCCACTTTGGTACCCAGCTTCTCCCCGAGACCTGCTCAGGGCCACAGACCGAGGCAGGCCACCGGGGGCTGCCCCACGGGCTGGCGGCGGTT